CTAGAAAAAGAATGATTTTTAATCAAGTTTTTTGAGGTCACATTTGTAGACTTCAAAAAGGTATGCAAAGTTGTGACAACTTTATTCTGTGCAAATAACTTTGTTTTGTGTGCTTTGTTGCTTTCTGGCAAAAGCCATTGTGCAGATCTTTCAGCCCTTTTTAAACGTAAATATGTTATTTGGTCCTTGAACAAGCAAACAGAAACAAGTTGCCTTGAAAATGAGAGTTTTCTTTTTTCCTGTCACAGTCCTACCATTGTGTCTTTTCAGTTTGTCTCCTATCCCCCCTCCCCTTTGTGTTTCCTTCTCATTATTGATCTCACCTGCTGCTAGTTTGTGTTGCTATTTAGTGCTGGGTAAGTAACTTTTAAAAAGTTACTAATTACTTGATTACATTTGTATTTAAAATGCTTTTCTAAATACTGTCTAAATTAATTGCCAACTGAATACTTCTCAAAATTCAAAAAACTCTTGAGTTGACAAACAATAGAAATTAAATCGTTTAAAAAAACATATGAATCCGACATGAAATAGATAGCCTTTTAATATCTATTAATTATTAAGTTGTATAAAACAATCTTTAATATGTACATTTATTACTAAGAAACATACCTCCTTTAGGATACACTGTGCAAAGGGTTATTTTTAAACCATTTTTGTGAAGCGGTTTATTTTAAAACTAAATAAATTTAATTAATAACATTAAAAAATGATATTCAGTGTAATTATTTTACATTGTAATGCAAGTACAATAAAAGTAACTATAATTAAAATACACAAAAAATACGAATAATTAGAGGCAAAAAAAGAATTCTAATTACAGTAATGCGTTACTTAGTAACTAGTTACACCCAGCACTGTTGCTATCTAAACCCCTGTTTTTTAATAGTCGTCACTAGTCCAACTTACTGTGTGTGTGAGTTTTCTGTGTTTTGGACGGACAGTCTCTTCCACTTTTTGTTCCAGAGGGATTCCCGAGTCTCTCCTGTACCCTTGGACTGGATTTTCCTAGTTCGGCCTTCTCACTGGAGTGGATCTGCTCAGTCAGTGGATTATTTCTCTTCCTGCTTGGCTTCTCTGTTTGGATTCCTCAAAGCAGTATTTTGTGTTTTTTCCTTTTGCCCAAACACATGAAATACTTTTGATTTCAGTAAAGTACTTTTGGGTTCAATTATCACTAATTGGCTCTGACATTGTGACATTTCCCTTGTGAAACATCCCGTTGCCCATCTCATTACTGCATCTCATGAGTGAAATATAAAAGGATGACAAATATAAAATATAATGAATTAATAAAAAACTAACAGAGAGTATGCATTGAGACTCAGTGGCAAAACAAGCAGTAAACTGGCAAAGTTTCACATGGAAAAGTTGTGAACCATGAGGAGAATTAATTACACATTTACGTTCAAAAGAATTGGTTTTGACTGTGAAAATATTGTTTTCTGTGGAGATTTGTCTGGGAAAGCGATTTCCTGATTTAAATGTCCCTAATTTCAACACCAGTAAAGTACACAAAACAAAGTAAGTAGGTGTACAAGGCAAACTGTGTAGGTACCAAGGCAAGAGGGCCTAGTCAAGCTTTTACAAACACTGGAACTTCAATCCAGTTCATCAGCCAGGCCTTCCTGTAGTCTTTTGTAGCATTTAATCTTTATTTTAGTCTTTAAGTTTTATCTGTCCAGTATCTGACGGATCCACTTTTATGAGAGGAAACAAACAGACAAAGAGTGAATGTGAGGTAAAAGAAGGAAGAGGGAATCCATCCTGCAGGGAATGATTTTGTGTCACCTTTTATGCCACCCTGGGTCTTGATTAAATAAAACAAATCCTATCCTGGTGCTTTCACAATAAGGATATACACTTCATGTCCATGCACTGACCCCAGGGTTAACTGATCCCTGAGAACACTATTGGAAGTGTTTGTGGCAAGTTTCAGAGTTTTCCAAATATAAATGGGAGGAAAATGTGTGAAGTTACCCTATCACTATCCTTGACCTACACAAATCAAGAGTGTGAGCATTTTTCATCCTCAGAAAATCATAAATTCTGATTCTAAATGTGAAACATAACATCCACCCAAACAGCATCAGCACCATGTCACACGTTTCATACGGAATGAGAGGCAAGGGTGCTTCTTCTTCCTCTTTCAACCTCTTGGCTATGTGGTTATCCAGTCCACTCAGATGGTTTAGTGTTAAAGTGAGAACACGAATCTGTGGGGGATTGGGGAGGGAAAGCTTATGGTAGAATCAATCCCAGTGTAAAAGCACCCTAAGAACTAAACCAGTCAATGGTGAATAGTTGAGGAGAGTAAAATAGATACCAAACTATAATATTTTTGATTTGATCATGTTATCATATTATTTTACAGTGTTGTTTTAGACAATTTCTTAATATAATACAGCCCCCCTTCAGATCTTAGGGATGAGTAAGAAGGAACATAAAGGACTAACTTGGGACAAGGATAATATCGCCAAGAACATGCCATATACACTTGCGGCTGTACCGTGGAAGTTTTTTCCGCCACGGATGAAGAGCTTATGGTTTGACTTTATAGAATGCACAGAAACATTCACAGAGTTTCTGCATTTCTTCTATCTGTGTTTCTATTCACAAAAACAATAAAGGTTAATTTCCCTGTAATGAGGTCTTTGGGTCAGGGCTTTACTCTACAAAGAACTTTATTCTTCAGAGTTTGATTACACGCACACAGGATCAGATTTCCCTGTGTGTAATTCAATTTCTTCCAGAAGAAATGATGCTTTCACACAGATTGAAAAGAAACACATGATTGGGACGTGCAAACGTAAGCTAAAAAAAGGTCTTCCATTCACAACATTTCTTTCACTAGTTCATTATCTGGGCCTGCTTGGTAGTGTAAGCAGGTCTGCTGGGTATAAACGTACTCTGCAAGCTGTCCGACAATGGATGGAATCTGTGACTTAGACCCCGAAGTCTAAGAGGGGGTAGCTTGGACAATGTCAGAGGATGAATGATTAGTTGCAAAGGTGGCAATTTGTTATCAATAACTGTGTTTCCCTTCACTTATTTTTATGCTCATTTTGGAATACAGCACAAAAAAAATCCCTGGAATTGAAACAGCAAGATCCACATATATGCGCATAAAAAAGTTATGCAGTTGGATTAACTTTTTATTTGATAAGAGAAATGTGCAAAACCTATAGTGGATATTTACCGAATAAATCACATTATAGCCCTCAAAAAAGTCATGTTATTTTACTTCTGGGTGCCATTAATGGACTAACTTCTAGACCGATCTGAAATGTTGTTTTGGTTATTTTGGTTCTGGTGGCTGTCTCGACCGGCTGCGTTCCCAAAGAGCAGTCTTTCGTCTCCCAAAGCACGATGACGTGACTCTGCAAATTGCGTTTCGTCTATGTGCAATAATACGCAAGTACATTATTGTTTATAAAAAAAAGGGCTTCTACCTCAGCAACTTCCATTTTGTTCTCTTGGACTTGTTGGTTTGAAACTTTTGAAAACATTTTATGAAATATTCCAGTTTTGCGTGTGAATTTAATTCACACCTTTGAATGGAAACATGGCTAAAGATTAAATTATCCAAAAGGTTTAGGAGTTGACATAAGTATTAATATTTTTGCTTAATTTTTATTGTTGTATCACAAAAAAATTATGATTGGCATTTTGGGGTGAAAAAGGTCACTGATTTAAAGCATTTTATGGGAGAAAATTGTGTGTTGGAGATTGTCTGTTAACTTTACGTTTTAAATAAAAATATAGAGTTTGTTAACTTTTACAGTTTGAAATAGTAATAAAACAGATCATATTTCTTATCTAACCCAGTTTGGTTTGGATTGTTCGGTTTGTTGGTTTGGTTGGTTTGGCTTGTTGGGTTGGTTGGTTTGGTTTCTTGGGTTGGTTGGTTGATTGGTTTGGTTGGTTTGTTGGGTTGGTTGATTGGTTTGTTGGTTGATTGGTTTGTTTGGTTGGTTGATTGGTTGGTTGATTGGTTTGGTTTGTTGGGATGGTTGGTTGATTGGTTTGGTTTGTTGGGTTGGTTAGTTGATTGGTTGGTTTGGTTTGGTTGGTTTGTTTTTTTTTGGGTTGGTTGGTTGATTGATTGGTTGGTTGATTGGTTTGTTTGGTTGGTTGCTTGGTTGGTTTGTTTTTTTGGGTTGGTTGGTTTGTTGGGTTGGTTGGTTGATTGATTGGTTGGTTTGTTGGGATGGTTGGTTGATTGGTTTGGTTGGTTGATTGGTTTCGTTGGTTGGTTTGGTTTGTTGGGCTGGTTGGTTAATTGGTTTATTTGTTTGGTTTGTTGGGTTGGTTGGTTTGTTTGGTTGATTGATTTTGTTTGCTGGGTTGGTTAATTGGTTTTGTTTGTTTTCTTGACCAGCTAAAAATATGAAAAATATAATAATTATGCTGAAATCAGGTACAACAGGTGTAAAAAATGCAATTGAAACAAAATTGCATATAAACAAAGTACAACAAGCTTTATTATTCCATTCTCAAAACTATGCATTATTACTGCCACAAAAGTTGGCTTCAGTCAAGAATATTATTTGGTAAAATTGACATCAACATTGGTGATAATAAACCTCAAAGACACTGGCAAGTTCTAATAATTAGCTGCACATGTATGAATATAGAACATAGATGCTACAATTTTTGGAACATTGGCAGCATTGGAGTTCATTTTCTTATAAATGCATTTATTACTCTGTAAAATTATTAGCCATGTCACACCCATGGGGAGTTTCAAAAGATAAAGAACACACAACTGTTAAATATTACATAAATGCAAAGGGGGCCCCACGAAGCATATGCAATTGATTTTCGTCACTGAAAACAACAACATGCGTCATTATGAACAGCACTGCAAGTGGAGAGAATATGGTGATCATTAAAACGACTAAACCCAGAGATGAGTGCTCTCCAGAGGCCTAGGAGACACATACAAACACATACAAACAAAATTGTTTGAAAGCAGATGATTCTCATTCTTCCACAGCTTTCCTGTGGTTCAGTCAGTAGAATATTGCGCTAGTGACATGAAGGTTGTTGGTTCAAATACCAGGGAAAGCAAGATCTGATGCAATGTGTTCAATCCTTCAAATGTAAGTCTCTTTGGACAATTGCATCTGCCAAATGTGTAAATGTAAAACTCCAAAAACACAGAAAAAAAACTCCAAAAATAGGCATTTGAAATTGATTTATTCTATCTGGACAAAAAGGTATTTAATCCCTATTAATTAACACGATTCCTAACTCTCAGCTCTAAAGTAATATAATCTGTATATCAAACACTTGTCCCGACTCCAGACTACACTCGAAACCCAAAAAGCCACCATCCAATCTCAGCCCTTGAAAGATTCCTCCTTATACCTCCCAAACTGTCAGATCTACAGTTCACAATGACTAACTCGCCAACGTGACTTTACGTGGCTGGTTCCATTCTTCGTTCTTGAACCCATTACTGTGTCTCTCCACTCTATTCTCCACAAAATTTCTGCTGCTTTGGTCTACTTCCGCTCCTTCCATTAACCCCATCTCTTATTGTGTTGGATCCACCTGGGATTTTTCCATGCTCCTGCTGCCTTATGAACTTCTAGATCTACGTGATCTGATGAGGCTTTTTTACTTCTTCTAAGGCATGATACGCGATTGTAAATATTGACATTTTAATAGGAATTAAAGCAGTCTCTTCTCGTTGTACAGTTGTGACAAAAATCCACACCATTGCTGAGACCAAAGCTGTTCAAGGATGTCAAGGATGGAATGGGGTGTAACATCATCATCAGGAAGCTATGTGAAAAGGTGACCATTGTTGGTTAGATTATACATACCACCCACTCGAGATCAAAACTTGTGGGATTTCAATAAAATATACATAATAAATATAAGGAATTCAGCCCAGAACTACACAGAAGGATCTCGTCAATTGTTTGAATGCAGCCGGTACTATAGTCACCAAAAGACACTTGGTAACATACTACATTGTGAAGGACTGAAATACTGCACCCCACTGTAAAGATCCTCCTGATCAAGAAAGCACATAAAAAGACCAGGTTTTCAAATATCAAAGAGTGGATAACCAGAAGCGAGCCAATTTTTGTTTTCAACTCCATTTAACCAAATATTTATGTTTAAAATGGACAGTTAGAAACTGGTTGTTAAAAAGTCTTAATTCTACTCATGGGATTAAACCTTAAGATAACACCAAAAAACTTTCTAATGTGTTTTATCAGTGCTATGTTGGTTGTTTTTTATTATGAGTACATCATTAATGCAATTTTAAATGGAAAACTCCATTAGCCATTAGTGTTGAATGGTTTAACTATGTTTTACAACCAAGACATTGACACAGCACAAGAGTGAGAGGCAAAAGTCTGAAAACAGAAAACTACAGATACTTACACCAATGCAAGTAAGTGTAATTGCTTTATTTAATGTTATGAATATTATAATGATAATGCAGTCGTGCCCTAAACTGCTAATTGGCTGCAAACCCTTTTTGAATAGTTGCCTACAATGTTCTTTAAAAACAATGGCTAGTGCAGTGTATGAAACGGTGGGTCATCATTAAAATTAATAGAGACTGTTCATTTCTTAGAAGGTGTCTAATGAACGCAGGATGAAGCAAATCCATTTTCATCTCGTATTCACATGCCAGGTTGAAAGAGGCTGCACGTGCCAAATGGCAATCAAGAGAGAAGCAGGATGTGGTGGCAGTCACTCCATGTTTTATGGATGGAGGTAAATAATTGACTCCCAAAATGTTATTAAGCCATTGAAAAGTGTAAGTTGTATAACCATCACAAATAGCCAATAATATTATATAGTATAGTAAAAAGCATATTTGTTGTTGTCCCAATGACTAATGTGGGGGTTGTGGGTGCATAAGCATACTTTTGTGAGTCTTCATGAGGCAATCAAGGCACCTTTGGCTTAAATAAGCAGGTCATGTGAGACACATTCAGTTTTAAATGATACAAATAAGCAAGGGATTGTGGGACATAGAGTCTATACCTACAGTTTTTCATTGTACAATAGTTTTTTTTCTTTATGCAATAATAATATTCACTGTAAACCCACAGTATACATATTTGGGTTGAATGATCGCTATCTTATTTATTTATTTTTATTAAATTATCTCTTTGGCCTCACAGGGTCAAGATGCTAAAATAGAGCAAAAGACAGCAGACAATACAGGGGCTTTTTCTGGGTCAGTGTACATCCTCCCACCAACAATCTAATGCCCATTTTGTTTTGTTTGTATATAATCAGATGCTTCCCTTTCCGACAATTCATTGCAGCATGCTCAACAATGAGGGGACAGAGAAGAACAGACAGTCAGGAACAGACAAGAAAACAATGACATGAATACACAGCATTACAGAGATGGGGAAGGATGGAGATAGAAGAAGATAGAGAGAGAGAGAGAGTCATGGAAGAGAGAGAGAGAGAGAGAGAGAGAGAGAGAGAGAGAGAGAGAGAAAGTACATACCCGATAAAAATATATCATTGATATAACTCCACTTGAAAAATTACTGGATGGATATAGAGCCAAGTTTTTCACCTTACCAAACAAGTAGATCTACTCATGATGACCAATAATTAAAGACAAACCATCAACAAACAACACACCAAGACATTTCTAAAAATATGTGCACCCAATTTTGTAGGTAACAGTTTGGGGATGGACCCTTCCTGTTCCAACTGGACTGCACAACGGTGCCCAAGGTCTAGAAAGAACTTGACTGGTCTGACCTCAGCCCGATAGAACACTCTTAAGATGAATACTCAGACCCAGTCTTTGCCCAACATAAGAGTATGACCTTTCACAGAATGACTTCCTTCAAAAACCAACAGAATTGAGTTTTTTATTAACAACCGAAAGTATACAACAGTCACTGTACAAATAATATTGAGTACATGTCAGTTTTAGGTAAAGGAGAAAAAGGCAGTCTGTGAAGTTTGTGTGAGGCTGAGCGCTTAATCGTCTTGAAAACAGGTGATGCACTGTTTTCCCGTTCCAGAGGCATAGGCATCTAAGGGGCAGGAACCTTGACAAACAAGAAATTCACTTATTGACTTTAAATAGCAATTCTTTAGATCATATTTAGAGGATGCATTCAAGTGCTCTCCAATAACGTCTTTAAATGCATTCTTTGAAGCATGCTACCATCACTTTGGTATTCCGCTTAAGTCTATGAAAAGAAAATGACAAATAAAAGTTCTTAGGCTGAGCACTGTAGTCACCAAGCTAATCTTTGACCAAACAGAACTGAGAAAACAACCAACCAATCAAGCCTTCTAACCAGTCGTGGCAATCTGCAAGTATTTGTAACTCTCCTATATCACTACTACCACTGCTTCAGTCTCCTATGAAGAAATAAAAAGAATTTGATTGGTCATATGTTCAAAACCATCAACCGGAGGTCAAGAAGATTTTTCGTATTTGGACAACCTATTTCCCCACCCAGTTTTGGCAGAGCCTTTGAGCAAAAATAAATAAACTGTTGGAAGAACTTTGACAGAACAAGTTTGCAGGCCGTTGCGTGTCTGAGGGGAACAAGCTGCTCACCAAGGCACAGAGTTAAATAACTTTTTGTAGGTCATCATTACATCATGGAATTCATGGAAAAGGCTTTTCATCACAACCATTTTAGTTAGAAGCATTCTGTTCCCTTTTCTCACAGGTAGCAACTGAAAACTGTCCAAATTGAAATGTTGACATGAGTTTTTCCAGAAATCTGGAGTGGTTAAACCATAGACTGTGTAAAATGATGGAATTAGCATCCCTGACACCACCCATGGAAGTTTGTCAATACTGGGCAATTGTAATTGGGCAACAGCTGCACAGAGCTGGGACATGGGGGTAGCAAAAATCCCTGCATGGCAGAAAGACTCTACCATCACCACAAGGTTCTGTTGTAAAGTACTTTTAACACGGCTATGACTATTAGGACGTGCCTCGAGTGGTAAGTCCTTGAACTGCAGCTTCAGTTATTTCCTATAATGTGTCAAGAGAGAAAGAGGGAAGTTACTGCTTGGTGGAAATTAAATACAACAAAAATATGGAGGTTGCGCTCCAACAGACATTCCGGGAAACCGGAAAGAAGAATACGACAAAAGTCGTGAAGTTATAATGTTGGTAACTGATGACAAGGAGCTGTTTTGAAAAGAGAGGATTTGTGGTGAGACATTTATTTCCTGTTTCCTTTACAAAGTCACTATGAAAATGTGCGATGAGTGCCACCAAGCCGCTTTTTTATCTTCTCTTCACATCACCAAAAGAGCCAGCTTCCAATGGTCGCTATCCTGCGAAAACCGAATCCAATACGGCACTCTGAAACCCTTTTCCCAGTTTGTTTTGGGCTTATGTGTGATGTCCCATTGGCACCCATGGTTTAATATTAAGGCGCATCAAAAACTTCGCAACAAAAATCAGGTCGATGTGAACAGGCCATTGAATATTCACACCTATGCCTCTGCAGCAATCAGGGGATGTATGCAGTGGATTTTAAAGTACCAGAGCACTAATGTGACCTTACACACTAGCTGGAAAGTGTCTTGTTTGCTGACTGTTATGTTTGGCTCGTTTGGTCACATGTGTTCATCTGAGAAAGGCAATACTTGAGTACTTAGACTTTCAGAAGGGCAGAAAAGAGTTTATGAGAACAGAGTTCTAGTTTAGCAGAACAAAGAGCTTTATGACACCTGCAGTTCACCAAATTGCATTTAACAGATGCCCCATTGTGTTCAGAAGCTCATTTTTAATTGCAGTTAACTCAGTCAGATGACGATGAATCTGCTGCAGTTCAGCAGATGCATAGGCGTGTAAAGGATTTTAAAATGGAGAAAAAAATAAATGAATAAAATGGGTTTAAATCCATTAAAATAAAACAGATTTAAAAATATTAAATCACACCACTAGTTCGCATAATTGGGTCTAGACAAAAACAAACATTTGACACGTCTGCAGATTTAGTCGTCATTCACAACACACTGATCGCTTTGGTCCATACTGCTTGTAAATACTTCCATGTGACATCATACGGGCCACTCATATGCAAACT